CTGCAGGGAGGCGATGCAAACCCCCCAACCACTTTTCCACTCTGTATCAGATCTAGGAGAAATAATGCATGTTGTCCATTCAACAAATCTGCGCAACCTCTGTCCGGAAACCAGATGCTCTGATTGGAAACCTTTGCCAATGGGTCGATGTGCAACCCACAGATATTGAACTCATGAAGTGCACCAAGTTTTTCAACACTGTCACATAAGTCACCCTCACAAGCAGGACCCGAACAGAGGTGTAAGAAGAAACCAACATCACGTGGCCACGGGCTCAAACTGCGAAGATCGAGCTCAATGGATGCCGCGGCATCCCCAACGTCCGTCACCTGGCTCAGACAATGACTGCCCAAAGGTTCCCATCGTCTGGATGGTTCGTCAGCTGGGTTCTCTTTTGATGGCATCCATGGATAAAACACTTCATGCCCTCCACATATGTTGATGGCACACATCCGTCTGCACCGGGAGTTGAGTTGATGAGAACTGGACCGGCCCTTGCTTAAGCAACCCGCGCAAGCTGCCGAATCAACAGGATGTACGAAGCGACAGCCATCATCAGCAGGCCTCCGCAGCCTATCTTCGGCCGCCCAGGTCACAGCATCCGCCTCACCCAAGGTAATGTGTTGCGGGTTCCAAGGTGCCCCAACCGTGTGCCACTTGATGCGCTCAATGGGTATGCGCACTCGTCTCAGAGGACATTTGTGCTCCGAGTTGAGGCCTACGCTCCAAGGAAGCTTGAGGTTGGTGTACACACTGCCATGGTCTGAGTATCTAGCCAAAGTTTGCACCACGTGTTTTGGCACAATGCCCCATGCTCGACCAATACCAGTCATGGAAGCGTCGGTGCATTCAATACGTGTGCTCCACTCAGAAGACAAGTTGAAACTGCCGAAGGGCAACAGCATGGCAGCCATAGCCAACTCTACCCACACATCATCCGGAACTCGTACCAGATCCCGCCTGCGCCCACGTACCGTCGCTAGCCAGGCATAGCTGCGCTCGAAGATGGACCTCAATGTAGGACGAGCAGACTGTACGAAACCATGCTTTCCAATAAGGCGGTCTATAACACCAACCATCACCCGTCCCGCACATAAGACGTGAACGGTGGCCTGGAACAGATGTCTGCGCTTTTCAATTCTCACTCCAACCCAATGACCAAAAGGATCGATAAAATAACCCTGTACCTCTTCACCCAGAGCTGAATCGACACTCTTCTTGGCATTGGGCTCAACACCATGCTCCACCCACGAGTTCTCGGTGGCATCCATCCATGACGCACCCACCGACGCCTCGAGTTGTGAAGAAGCATGCTCTATAGCCCAAACATCATCAACAATTGAACCCCACAACGGCAGAGATTCTGGGGCAACGTGATCTGGATGTAATCTGTGCTGAGGAGGTAGCCCTGCCTTGTCCGTCACAGTGTCAGTCAAGCCCTGTGCCCATCCTGCCGAAGGTCCAAACCCCATGGGCGCTGAGCATGAAGCAGGATACACGACCTCGCTGCGGCCTGACGATCGTTGCCACTGTATCGGCGGCCCGCAAAGCCAGCGTCTCCACCGCCTCCCAATCTTTAGACGATGAAAATGATGTCTAGCATCTCGCTTCGACACTACCACAACTCCTCCTGCCGGCACTGTGACTGATCGCATCTTTGGGATATAGGCGAAGCGGGGACGAGGTAGTTTTTCAGGATCAAGAAGCTGATTGACGCTCGGGTCAGTAATGACCCTGTCTTCTACATCGTCCTTGCGAACTGCAAACGCCCCAGCCAAACAAAGCGAACCTCTATGTTTTGCCACTTCTGCGGGCCTCTTCAAGCAGTGTAGTCCGGCCTTCAAATTGCGTTTGACAAGCTCGGGGTAAGAGTGCGACACCCACGTGTAACCTTTCTTCACACGCTTCGGCCTCCTCTTAGATGGAAGTAACAGAGCACTCGGACGCGCTACCTGCATCGCCATCTCTGGGAAACTGTTCTCAAGATGCTGCCCCAATGGTACATCGGCAGCCTTCGGCGGAACACCTCCTCTCACCCCGAGCGCCAACACTACTCCAGCCCCGGAATAGTGTTCAGACTGCTTTAGATACTTGTCAAGCCCTTCACTTGACAAAAGAGGCTCGTCGGTCAACACCATTGCCTCCAAGGCACACGCTATCCGAGCATGTACCCGTCGATGAGCAGCAGATAGCACCGGCCGATGACAAGTGCCGTCCTGCCCTCCATGCAAATTATTCAAGATGGCTATCACCAGATTGGCACCCTGAACCAAGCCTGTACACGGCTCAGGCCCATTCGAACCGCCATCAGTCCTGACCACCCCGTCTAAGCTCAGAGGTGGTAACGGAAAAATGTGAGAAGGAGACTGCTTCACGCTTTTCCCCAACCCCTTTCTAAAAGCACCCAAAACTCCACGGAGACGATGCACTTCATATCCGAGTGGGCAGCTCCTGTGCTCTCTACCCAAAGCCCGGGCCAAACCAGCCACAACCTTCGAATAGAAACGACCAAATCCCAACTGCGGATCAGCGCAACGCCCTCCTTGCAGGCCAACCGCCTGCTTCAAACGCCAACTTAGGCGTTGGTGAGGGCCAGCATGGAGCTGCTGGCCAGGGACTTCTGCGTGGAGACCAACTCGATGGCCTCGGCCTTCTCCCAGCTTCCACCTTTCAACTTCGCCGCCTGGATCGCCAAGATCCGCTGACATAGGATGTCCATCGCCCGCTCGATCTCCCGACGATTCACCGAATCCAGGATCTCGGCCAAGGTGAGCACCTCCTTTATGTCCCTGATCTCGCTCAAGCCCGTGAACTGATGAGCCCAAGACGCCACCGAAGCCTCCCTCAGCTGCGATGACCTCGACAGGGTTCCTTTCGACAACCTTGCGTACACACCGGCCAGGAAGTGGGCAGTCAGAGCCCCCGGATGCTTCGATGCGAAGGCCAACAAGTCTCCCTTCTTCTTCCATTTGAGCCCGTCCACGTGAGCAAGGTCGTCGTAACTCACACGCTTGTTTCTGGCCCGATCCTTCCATCTCAACGGCTTCTTGCCGCTCGAACCGCTGCTGCTGCTGGTTGATGCGCTCGACGTACTCCGGCTGCCCGATCGGCTGCTGGATGATGTCGATGACGAGCCCCGCTTCTTCTTCTTCTTCTTGTGATCCTTTCGCCCGTGCTCCGTCTTCTTCTTCTTTTTGGACTTCTTGTCCTTCTTTCGGCCTTTCTTTTCGGCTCGGGGCTCCCTTAGCGACAGTGCCTGAAGCTGCTTCACCGCCGACTCTAGGGCCTTCAAGTCCACCTCTCCGCCCGTTGCGGTAGGATTGACGACTCCACCGTGAAGACCCACCGCGACAGCCCCTTGGCTTCCACCGCCTGCCCCCGCGCCTTGTCCGGCACCTGCAGCCGGAACCAGCGGCATCGCCACAGGTAGTGGCACCGCCTCGAGTTTCCCCGCAGCTCCTGCAAGATTCACCGCATAGCTCCCTGCTCCTGCTGACTGCAGTTGTCCTAACAGCAGCGTGCCATCCCGCACTATTTGCATGGATTCGGCTGGATCGGGCCACCACTTGGTTTCTGCATGGGGAGGTACACATAACCAGTTCACTTGAGCAGCTGGTATGCCCTGAGCTGGACGCCGGGTATTGCCACCAACCACAACCGATGGGCTCATCTGACCATCGACTGGTGCGATAACCGCCCACATCCAATCTCCTCCATCTTCGGTGGTCGTTCGCGTGAGTAGCTCTCCCGCTGCTGGGCCAAGGCCCACCACGAAGACCTCGTCGTAATGGGGAGGCCTGGATACGATGGCGAAGGTGCCTATACCAAAACGCCCCGGACCTGGAGCGGCCATCACGGTGCAGGTTAATGATAGATGTTCTGATCGCCGGGCTGGCGTGAGCAACCAGGTACAGATTCTATGCACCCAGTCAATCAAGTGCCTCCACAATTGGAGAAGGATCCCAATGCCCACCAATGTCAAGTAGACGAATTGTAGAACCAAGCACCCCACCACACGAAGGCAGATCAAAATGCCAGGTAACCAATCAAGCACCAAGACAACGCCCCCCAGATAAAAGAGGTGCTGAGCCAGCTCAAGAAACGGAGTATGCTCCGCGTTACTTTCGCTAACAGTTCGGACGTAGTAGGTGGATGCCTCGGAAACAATCGCCTTCGCGAAATGATACTGCCAACCTTGCTGAAGCACGATCCCGGTTAGACCACTCAGAGCAGCAGTAGAAGCCACGCGCAAGGCCATTCAGCCCCTTTGACCCTCGAGAGAGACTTGAGCAAAAGAAGACCGTTGGTCGAGTAACTGATTGCACTGCAAAGAAACTACAAGTTGAAACACCTCCCAGTTATTATTAGGACACATACATAGACATCCTGAGTCCCTAGAGAGTCAGTGCACTTACATGACATCGCATGCATATAGACACATCAGGGCTCCTAATAGATCAGGAAGGCCCCGCATACATTGGGCCGAGTCCTGCATGACGCAGGCTGCGGAGCGCATTGATCATTTGCTCTCGGATGCTGCCCCCTCCCACGAGCAAATACAACACAGCTTCTATCAGTTACCCAACCCTAGTAGTATTGCTGCAGCACATAGCTCCTCTGGACTAGTATGGATGGACAATACATCCCTATATCGCAAAGTGCAGCCACGCTGCCAAGATCGTCAATTCTGGGCGAAAGTAGTCCATAAACCTCCCAAGGGCCGTGCTTAATTTAAGCCACCAGTAGCTGAATTAGGATAGGTCGGTGCTGAATGTGCTGATGGGCTTGAAGACGAAAGCCTTCCGCGTTCGAAAAAAAAAGTGGGTGAGATACTAAAGAAAGGAGGCACATCACCATGTCCACTCCAAAGCAAACACCTGTAGCTGACATGTTGGGGATCCCTCAGAAAAGGTGCCTTTTGTCACTTCGCAAACTGCCTTCTGACGCCTTTGGGCCGGTCGGAGTTTTCCGTGGCCAGTGCTCTGAGGCTTTTTGCGAACTCACCGAGCGGTCCAACCCTTCTCTTGGAGCTCCTGCGACATGAAACTTCTGCAGTCCGACAAGCAGCCCCATCGCCTGATTCCCGTGCTATCTCCTCGCTGGGGACCGCGTGCCTCGGGGGCGCTTGGGGGCGCTTGATGGCACTTTGCTGCTTCCGCTTCGGGATCCCGCCACGGCCTTTCTGGCCTCGGCTGGAGGCTTGGAAGACCTCAGATCCACAGCCACTGACCAAACGGACCAAGGGATTCGCGAAGGACGTCTCAGCAATGGGCGCGGCGGCGGGCCGGCTTTTCCGTCGTTTCGGGTCTTGGTGACGTGACGACGGTGACGAAGAGTGAAGAGGGCAAGCGAAACGGTGAGAGCTGGGGGGCCGCTGGGGGGCTGGGCTGGGGCACCGGCAATCCGAGTGGTGAGGCTCAGATCTGAGAGCCTCAGCGCCCAGCAGCCCCACTAGCCCCACTAGCCCCACCAGCCACAGTTCAACTGCACCGCCCCGGTGCTCACAACGCGGCCTGAAGTGCCGCTGCCAGGCGGCAACGCGGGCATCGGCGTCGTTACGCGCCTCTCATCTCAGGAGCAAGGAGCCTCGAGCCTCTGTTGGAGTGCAACTCTTTTCAGGCAGGGCATCGCCGACCTGATCATCTCGCATCTGGGCCTGACGTCACATCTGTTCCCTTGTGGATGGAAGCTACGCCAAGCTTCCGGCCGCAAAGTCCGATTTCAGCATTGGCACCTCTGCAAACTTTCGATGCTCTGCCGTGAGACTTTGCAGGCGTGCACTTTGCAGTCACCTGAATGTCCCGATAGTTCCAGGCCACACAGCCGATGTAGTTCTCAAGGCCGCTGTGGCGTGCCTCGTGTGCATTCGAGCCCGGCGACCCGACCCCGGTCGCGACCCCCACCGCCGGTCCAGTACTTGACCCTCTGCCTGCCATCTCTCTCGATCGAACTTCTCCTGGGGCGCCGCCGCAGGCCCCCCGGGCGGAGGCCCCGGCGGCCCCAGCCGCTTCCCGGAGAAATCAGGTCGCCTGGCAGCTCCGAGAGGGGGGCCGAGCTCGGACCCTTTAAACTTCGCTTTCCTCACCTTGGCAGCTTGGCCGCCATGGCCATTGGACGCGGCGGTGCAGGCACAAGGCCGTGCTGCGTTGCTCCATGGAGGTCTGGCCCATGAGGACGTGCTGGTGGGCCTTCTTCCAATCTCCGGAGAGAGGCAGAGCCAGAGCATGTTTCCGACGACAAACAGGGCTCGGACGCAGCCAGCTGCGATCGCTGAAACCTCAGAGAGCGAGAGCAAAAGAGCAAAGCAGCTCCGCGCTGCCCCGCACGGAGCTCTGCAGAGCAGCGAGTCGCGCCCGCCTTGCCACGTGGACTCCAGTCGCTCCGGGCCTACCGGCCGGCCCGTCGTGCCAAGACAGTGGAAGTCCCTCGGAGACACGACGCGCTGCTTCACTGTTTCGCTGCTCCGCTTCGGCCGAAGCCCTAGGCTTCCGGCAGAGGCGGCTTGAGTCGCTCCCACTCCCGCTCCCGACCGTCTCTTCGAAAGCCTCGTCGCGGCGGCGCACACGCTCGCACGCTCGCGCACGCGCTCGGCCGGCCTTCAGGCGACTGTGAGGGACTCGAGCTTTCGCCTGGCAAGGATGGGATGCGGCAGGTCCCCTTGAAGCCGCTGGGAATTCGCACCACGAGAGCTCCGTCCACCCAGCCGCTGCCAAGCCCATCGCTGCTGCCGCCTGAAGGTGAAACACAGCCTTTTTTACAGACGCTCCGAAGTGCTGTGCGGCTGTGCTCTGTGCCGCCGTGCCTGCGAGAGCCTTCCAGAGCTCTGGCCAAGGCTTCTGCCTCGGATGAAAACACAAAACAGACTGCAGCACATGTGGGGAAAATGGGGCTGCGAAAGTGCGCGCAGACTGCGCAGAGTGCTGCCAGAGTGCGAAGAGCTCCGCACACGAGCTCCGGCCCGAAAGCTCTCCCGGCCCCGGGACGTGCCGCCCGGCTCCGAGGCTCGGCGAGCGCAGCGGCCTTGCGGCGAATTCCTTCTCCTGTCTCCGGCGGCCGGGAACCGCCGCTGCCATGGCCCCCATAGGGCCGTTTGGGGACCCGGAAGGATCGTTTTCGGAACGGCCAGAAGGGGAGAGAGGGGACCTCGAAAAGCGCCGACTCGGTGAGAAGCCGCCGACGTGAAGACGCCTCAGACTCACCGCGGCCATCCGTGGGCAGCATCTGCACGCCAGCCCTGCCGGGCCCCTGCCGGGCCCCTGGCGGCTCGGACGGCGACCTGGAGGCCTCCGTCAGAGGAAGACGAAAGAAGTCTAAGAACCAAAATAAAAGGCCCACAACACACGAACGCGCGCGCGCGGAACGCTTGAACGCGCGGTCGAACGGACGAGAAAAGGCACCGGGGTGGCCTGGCCCAAGTGCCGCGCTCTTCTGCTCCGGCTTTCTCTTCGCCCTTCCCGCAAAGAGAAGAAGCCACTTGGCTCCGTGTCACCTGTGCAGGTCACCGCTCAACAGCACGGCGGAACCGTGGGACAAACGCTCAAAGTGCATCGAGAAAAGTGGCGGACGGTGAGGTGCCCTCGGTGCCCTCTTCCAGCCGTCCTCGAGCTGCAAACTCGACACAAGCCCAGGGCTGGCGTGAACTCGCAAGGCGGGCCTCTCGCCAACTGTGAGCATCACGAGCTTGTCCTTGTCTTTCCTTCGCAAGGCCGGCAAGTCTCGGTCCCTAAGCCTGGGCGGCCCCCGAGTCTGTCTCGGTCTCGTGCTTGTGCTTGGCTCCACTGGGAAGCCATGGCTTGCCGCAGCCGGGCCGAAATCTGCCTCGGCTTGAAAGCGAAGAGCCGTAAAGAGGCGAAGAGCCGCAGAGCGGCGCTTAAGAGATCTCTCTCTACCAGAGCACCGTGTGTCTCAGGACTCGGCACTGGCTCCGCCTCAAACGGAGCGGACACAAAGCTGAGAGCACAGCACAGCACGGCACAGCACGGAGCGCAGCCAAGCGGCGTTCAGCGGGAACTCGTAGAGCGGAGCTCTTTCGCCTCCTTCGGCTTCGGCTCCTGGCAGAGGCGCAGCTGAGCCGTCAACGCAAGGCATCGCAAGGCGCTGGGCACCGAAGCCACTGCCGATTCGACGGTCCGCGGGGCCGGGGCTCTTCCCGAAAGCCCCCCTTCGAAGGGCTTTCGAAAGCGTGGTTTCAAGAGAGGCAAAGGCTGCGTGCAGGTTTGCTCTCTGAAGGGATCCGATGATCCGCCCCTTTGCACGATGTGGAGCAGGGCCAAAGGCTTTCACCCACGCTCCCGCACGCGCACGTCCAATTCTCAGGAGATAAGATCACGGTGAGAGGCAGCAGAGAGACGCCTGACCGTCTAACCGCCATGGCCAAGTGTGGGGATGTGTGGGGCGTGATCGCCATCGTCTGATGAGGCAGTGACTTTAAAGGATTGTGATTGGCTGCCATCGCCTTGATGAACCGAGGCTCAAAGACAAAGACGCCTCCATGACAGTTGCGCTGTCGCAGACAAATCTTGTCGAAGCAGACCCGCTGGATATACTGCAAAGACAGGTGGAAACAAGCCAGACTGGGCAACCCGTCGCTGAAAAGGCGAGAACTAAGCAAGGGCTGCATGCTGAACACGTTCCAGCATGTGTGGTGATATGCATGTATCAGCAGTTTGCACGGGAACGAGATGCCACTGACATCAGGGAAACAACACTGCGCTTCATGGCCTTCATATTATATGCCTTCATGGTCTTTGCTGCAGAGACAAGCAGGCGACTTCGCACGGCAAGGACCAGCGCAAAGGTGACGAAAGGTTCAGGGTTTGAGTGGCAGAGGCTTCACATCCAAAAAAGGCCGGTGCCGCCATGCTTGCAAGGAAGATCATGCTGTGAAGGATCTGTCGACGCGTTTTGTCATCATCAAAAGAAGTCTCCGTGAGAGCTTGGAAAAGGAGACCCCGCTTCCAGCTGTGCGGACACTGAGATTCGCGCCTTCGCGTTGCTTGCGAGGGGCTTGGGGCGTTAAATGAGAGATGGGTGGTGTCGTGGTGTGGTGTGCCTCTCCTCCTCTGCGGAAGCGGAACCGCCTTCGCCCCCCGTCCGCGACGGGTGGCTCGCTGTGGTGGCGGAGGCCCCGCTCCCTGCAGGCACAGCAGAGAGCAGAAGCGAAGCGGAGGGAGGCGGAGGGGCTCGCGCTCCTCGCCTGGCCTCAGTTTCTGGGAGAGCTCGTACTTGGACAACTTCGGTCGGCAGAGGCCCTTGGGCCCCAAGAACTCCTCGAAGTCCAAAACCTCGCAACCAAACGAAACCACTGGTGACCGGACAAAGACCCACTGCCCCTGGGGGCCCGGCGAGGCGCAGCCTTCGCAGGCGCTTGGGAGGCGACCAAAAAGAGACTCACAGCCACCCTATACTTTCCTCACAGCCGCCTCGCTTCATCCGAGATCTCTGGCCAGGACTCCAAAGGCGTCACCTCGTAGATTCCTGTGTGCGAGCCGAGTACTCAACATGTCTCTGGATCAACTCCCCCTTCGTGTCGGTTGATGTTTAACGATCAGCGATTCCCGTAGTTCTTCCAGACTTTCTCCAGGTTGTCGCTAGGATTCTAAACCCATGCAATCCTAAAGGTGATCTCTCTCGCTCATGTTTCTGCATCTTACACTGATACACTGCCTCGGGCAAAACCAAATGCCGTCCCTCCAGATTTACGGATCGGCTCGATCGGCTCTGTCCTCCAGAACAGCTCAACCGTCTTGTCTGTATTCTGTGTATTCTGGCTTCTTGCTAAGTCCCAGTTGCCCTGCATAGTAGCATAGGGCACACTTCTCTTGTTCCCAAAGTCCTACTTTTGAACTGGCGCCCTGATCTGCCCAGACTCCAGTCCCTCGCCTCCATGGACTCCGGCTTCTTCCGACCTGGCAGCGAGAGGCGAGAGGCTGCACAGAGACTGCACGGCTGCGACTTTCTGAGATCCCTCGCTGCATCAGGTTCACTTTGAGCCACTCCAGAATCTCGACGGGAAGCTCCTGCGGGCCACCGGGTCCACCCTCGCCCCGTCGCCCCCCACCCATGGCCCTTGGCAGCGGCCTTCCAGCGCGGCAAGTTGAGGCTGCTCTGCGCACTCTTCTCCGCCACCTCGAAGCACTGAAGCGCAGAAGAGCAAGCCCAAGCCCAAGCGGCTGAAAAACGGCTGCGCGGCTGCGGCTCTGCGGCTGGGGCGCCTCGGGCTCCGAAGAGGAAGCCTCGGACGCTTCCTCGGAGGAGCGCGAGCAGCGCTCGTCCTCCGTCTGCAACCGCTCGGACCTGCGAGTCGGCGAGGAGAGCCGACTCTTGCAACATAACAGCAGTCGAACGCCCTCCAGTTCCATGTGCCAGGAGAGATGTGAATCAATGCAAATGCTTGTCCTTCGCTATTTCATCATTCCGTCAGATTCGTCTTGTGGATTGGCTCGTCGGCACCCCTCGACGTTACACTCGGGTTGAATCTTGTGCCTTGTGCCTACTCCACTGCAACGATGCAAACGGGGGAAACCTACACGGCGAAACCTAAAACGTCCAGCCGCTGACTCTCGATGGGGATGGGCCCTACGGCTGCCAGCAATGAGCTCTGTGTCAGCGAGAGAATGACGACCCGCCCCGGGGGACAGGGACCGCCGGACCGCCGAGCGGACCTCCGTGTGAGCCGCGAGCCGCCGGGGACGTCGTCAAACAGGACCCTTCAAGGGAAAGCGACACCCATCGCAGGCACCTGGATCGCAAGATGTCGGAGATGTTCGACATGGTCAGCGCCTGGCCTGCGTGACATGCAAAGGGACAAATGAGAGAGAGAGAGAGAGAGAGAGAGAGAGAGAGAGAGAGAGAGACGGAGGGGCAGCGAATACTGGTAGGCAGCTCTCGGTGGGTTAGGAGGGACTGCATTAAACACAGGCGCACACGCCTGCTGGCCGCCCTGACTCCTGACACGACATGACAGGGCATGGCCGCATGGCACGTCTTCTCTCCGGCTGGGCTCTCTGCCTCCATGGCTTTCAGGAGCCGCAGGGAAGCACGGATCCGGCGACGCCTGAAAGTGGAATCAGCCACGAGCCAAGAGTGAAGCGTCGAAGGTGACACTTTTGGGCCTGTGCTCATGCTGAGGCTCCTTTCCGCGGCCCCGGCCGGCCTGCGGCGTCTCGACTTCGAGGGAACACGGAGGCTCCTTCAAGGCCAGAAACTGCTGCTAGATCTTTTGTGGCACAAATCGGCCAGTCCTTTCCAGGCTGCTTGGCACCTGGCACAACAAGCGGAGCTTCAGGTGCAAGCGTTCCCCAGCCAAGATGGTCCGTGCCTTGGGTGCACTAAGCCTGCAAACACGAGAGTTTCCGCTTCTTCTCTGCGGAACGAGCGACGAAAGAATGGCCTTCGTCCGGCTCCGGCGGTGGCGGTGCTTTGATGCAAGGGAACCTGAAACGGCAAAGGGCGGCGGAGGGAACGACCTGCTGCGCGCCGGGGCCAGGGCCTCGTCCTCGTCCTCGTTCGTGCCGCTGCCGTCGCTGCCGTTCTCTGCAAGATCTTCGCCTTCGCCTTGGCCCTCGCGGCAGCCTCGGTCTTCGGCCGCCGCCTGCGCCTGGGCCTGGCCGCAGGAAGACCCCGAGAGCACAGCACTGCCGCACCACCTCGGCCTCGGATCCCGAGCTGTTTTGGGAGAAGCGCCGGAGTCGGTCATGCGCAGCTTCCTCGGCGCAGTCAAACCGCAATTCCAAGTCCGTTTTGCTCTCGCTCAGCTTTGGCGTCGCTCTTTCGCCGTCGTATACCGGGCATCCCTAGCCGTTTTCAAGTTTACATTCCGTAAGGAACATGTGGGACTTCGGTAGTAAGACATCGGTAGTAGGACATCGGTGGCAAGACTTGACGGGACCTTGGCGATAAGACCTCGGTCAGCATTTTGCTGGATTTATACAACAAGATAAGCTTGGCATTTTCAAGTCTTATCAACAAGACCTCGGCAGTCGAACCTCAGCAACAGGACCTCGACAGTATGACCTCAAAGACCCGGTGACCCAGCAATAAGACTCCTCAGCAACAGGACCCCTCAGCAACAAGACCTTTGCAGCAAAACCTTATCAACAAAACTTCAGCAAGACTACCGCTTTAAAGCCTCGACCATGTAAACGTCGGCAGGACGACCAATAAGTTGCAGGTTCATTGCCGACGTCAAAAAAGTAAGTCTTCTGTTCTCGGCCAATAAATGACATCTAGACGATACGGGTGACGGGACCTCGGCGACAAAACTTCTTTCTAAGCGTTTAGAACTGAGGAATGTTTTTGCGTGAAGGCTGTGATCCTCGTAAACGACGGTTGATGTTGTAAATGCGCAGTATAGACACAATCCTCCCGTCAGTAAATGCAGAAACAACCCCGGCGCGGCGTCCACAGCTTTCCCGCAATGTGCAAAGGGCTATTGCCGAGCAAATCTTAGTGTTGCTCACAAGTTAGGGCTTTTGAGCCAAAGAATTGCATGACAACGGAGCTGCAAATCGTGGCAGACGGCTGATGTTACCAGCCCGTCGCCGAGGCACACGACTGACGTGGTCGACCCGTGTGCTGTGGAAACATAGCTTTTGTGATATGCGCAACAAGTGTACAGCGAACACGACAATGCTTCGAGGTCCGCTCAGACCCCTCATGCATCATGCATCCAGCTTGATGCAATAACCGCGGTGCCGCGTCTTGTGGCTGTCATCATGCATTTGACACCCAATTCAACATATGTGACACTCGATTCCTGCGTCCGAGGCGGTCCCCTACTCTATCTCAAAGCAAAGTCGCCACCGAGGATGTAGACCGCATGCGGAGGAACACCAGTTGACGCAATCAGTGTCAGCCCAGTTCCGTGGGTTGGTGTAGGCGTGTACGCACCGGAGGTCACGTTGTCGAGGCTTTCGCCCATCTCTCTTTTGTTCTTGCTCCTGCCTTTGCGCTTCCTTTGCCAACCTTATCAGGAACTTTAGCTAATTTAGTTTTGGATGTAGGCACAAGAGCACGAGAGCGACTGGCATCTTCAGAGACGCCATCGACTGGTTCCATGCGTTGATCAGCAATGGAGGCCTGACCTTCCATCGTGCGTTCCGAAGAAGGCAAAACCGTTCTCTCTTGGAGCATGGGCTCGTCGTCAGTGAGGTCACGAGGCAAGCTTGCAGATGAAAATGACTGAATGTGTGCGTGTGTGTGTGTGTGTGTACCTCCCTAGCACATGGGAGCAGGGGGTCACTCCCACACATTTTCGTTTTCAACCATCAGTGCAAGGGGGCGAGGGAGTGTGGGGGTGCTCCCGCCCAACGAAGCTCCCCCCACACTCCAGGTAACGTACCTGCATCGGTCTGCGCCTGGGCCCAGTAGTGGGCAGCTGGCGGGACCCTCATTGTCGTTCATCTTTCATCTCATTTCGTGCTATGTCATTCCTTTGTGTCTGGCGTGGCAAGGGGCCGAAACCTTCCCCCCTACGTATCATTTCATCTTGTTTTTCGTATACCATTCCTTCGGTCTGGTATACGTGGCACAAAATTCTCATCTCATTTTCGTTGTCATCATCATCATCATCATCAACTTCATCATGTTCCACCACAACATACAACATACTCCCCTCTTCTTGCTCTTGGCCGAATCAATCAGTGTGATCAGCGTGGGTCATGAGACTCCAAAGCAACGGCTTTCCGTCAAGGCACCGTGATGACCCTTCGTGGGAGACCGGTGATGAACCGAATTGTTCAGACTTCCGTTCAGACGTTCGGATCTCCCGTCGCTACTTATTCCCCTCTCTCTCTGATGCCGGCATGCGAGGCTTACATGAGTGCTATTCTGCCGTCCTTATTCTGTCTCTTCCTTGTCAGGGAATGCAAGGGCATGTGCGACTGACATGAGTGCAGGTGCAGTAACTTTCGGCTAGTGCAAGGGACTGCAACTTCCTGCGGGAAGTAATTGGCCTTCTCGCTTCTCTCTCCCCTAACCCCACACCATAAGTTGAGGACCACGCAGGACGTGGTACCTCTCGTTCCATTGCTCCTGGGTGCTTTTATGCACAGCTGGAGGATGGTCCACCGCTCCTGGGTGTCTTTGCTACACACCCTCCGGAATACCCTAATCCTGTTACTGGCCTTGGACCCTGCTCGGGTAGCTGGGCAGTAGTCACTCCGTTCCTGGGTCTTTGCTGGCAGCTGGAAGGAGTGTCCTCACCCTAATCTCACCACCCTAATTACAACATACAACCACATGTGCAATACATTGGTCAGAAGCTGCTAGCCCTGGACCTCTTCGAGGGTAGCTGGGTAGCAGTCTTCTCGTTTAACCCTCATTACTGTTGCTTTTGGGGGCCTCGCGCCCAGCTGAGGAACAGTCCCCCTGCTGGATCTGGGCCCTCGCAAGGGCAGCTGATCAGGCTTCCTTCCCCTCTGTCGCTTCTGGGTGCTTGCGTGCCCAGCTGAAGGACAGTCATAAGCCCACATTGACAAGCCTTCACTACAACGTGAACTATTACAACATTGGCACCTTACGGTCTTCGTCGCCAGGCTCATTATTCGGGCATTGCAGCCCACAGGGTTTTGTGGTTTAGTTTAGTCTGGGTTTGTGTAGTTTGGATTGCCATGGCGCGGCATAACAGAGAAACATCGAATCGCCCCAACGTGGGGGCGTGGCAAGGGGCCGAAACCATACCCCTTACGGATCATTTCATCTTGTTTTTCGAACATACAACATACTCTCCTCTTCTTGCTCTTGGCCGAATCAATCAGTGTGTGGTTCAAGCCTGTCTTAAACCCCATGGCGACAGCCGTCCGCCAACAGAGATAACATTTTCGAGTGTGGTCTCCGCGTCTACACGAGCTACCGCATCCGGTCCCGCCACCTCCCGACCACAACCGAGAGTCCTAACTAAGTCATCAACTCTCTTTCAAGATTGCCAGAAACTAGCAGGCAGGGCTCACACTTTTTGTCGTTGCGGCAACAATCCCTGTCAGCCGGGACCCGGAGAAAAACTGCCTTCGGCTTCCCTAGAACCAGCCAAGCTCTCCCAGGACTTTGTGCTTCTCGAGAATTTTCTCGAGTACCAGCCGGCGGAGAAGCCATACTGTAGTCGCTCAAGGCTCAAGAGGCCGCCTTTACGGCGCCACGACGTCAGCACGGCGAGGAATATGCGGTGCGAAAGGCGAAGGGGCGACACTCCCTGAAAGGGACCCAACGGTCTCTAGGGGCCTCGGCAAGGCCTATTCCAATCAGTCTTGGCTTGCCATGTCCACCATGTTGTGGATGAACATACATCATGATATGCAGTGAAATAGGGGTCCAGGGTTGCTCTACAAAGTTGCTAAAGTCAGAGAACTCGGAGCTAAAGCGGGGCACTGTCGGCAAGCCCGCAAATGTGGGCTGGATTCACCGCCAATCCACCCTGTGACAACCGAAAGCTGGGTAAGTTTGCAAGTGCTTCACCATACATAACCGGCTGACACCTTCTCCTTTCTTCGTGAACGACCTTTCTCAAACTCGTGTTGGAAGACGTCCATGCCCAGTATTCCCCAAGTGAAGGAGATTTTTCGATTGATGCAGGGGGAGCAGGAGTGACTCGGCGGGATACATCGCTACCTAACGCTTTTCCGCAAGCTTGCTAACGACTCAAAGCTGGAGTGACCTGCGGCCCTATGCATCCTCACCATCTGTGCCACTTCGTTCAACTTCTTGCCTGTGGGTCGTTTGGTCGGCAACGAGGTTCTCTGCAATGCAAACGTGCCACCGTCGTCAAGGGACTCCTGCGCCACTGAACCACCATGGCGTCTTTCCTTCACGACACTGAAATTCTGAATCGCCGCGGCACTAGTTCTGAATCGCTGTGGCATGGAGTTCATGGAGTTTTGAAACGCTTGCGACGTTGGAGTTCCGGCGTTGCAGTTCTGCATCGCTGTGGCCTTGGAGTTCTTAAATTGCTGTGGCATTGGAGTTCTGAATCGCTGTCGGGCCGTCCATGAGTTCACGACCTGCTCTCGGCGTGACCTTAACTCCCATGTCACGGCATTCACCGCGTCAGCAACCAAGCCGACCACGCCTTTCGGGATCAGAAGTGTCGATGTGCAAGTCGAAGCCTATCAACGGAGCCTGGATCTAGCGCAGAACCCCTCTCGGGCTCTTTTCTTGAAGCATGAACATGTGCCCCTGTTGCCCACACGACAAGCATCGCCCAGCTCCAGGTCCATGGCCCTTGGCCATCGACGTGCCAGCCAGCGGGTAACACCCGCAAGCTGCGCACACTTTTGCCACCGCCGGTCGCGCCGCGCTTCAAACATTGCGCGCTTCGCTCCAGCGGCGAGGGCAACGGCATCGGCTTCGGCCCTGCATGCTGGACCGGGGCGACAGGTCAGATCGACTACGCGGCACTCCGAGGACACGCCTTTTTTGGCTGGGTCTGGCTTTCCTCCCGAGCACCGAGCCTGTATGCCGTATGCCTATGAGCACCTTATCTTGTTTCTTCAGGCACCGTCCGGTGATCAACGAGAAGGCCGAGGAGCAGGGGCTTGCGGGGTTGGAACTTTACTTTCTCCTCACCCGGGACTGTTCACCAGGCATGGCGATCGAGGTGGCGAGATTGGTGTTCACAGCCTGACGCTTGAAAGTGCACCTGTTGCTGGCCAAGGCGAGCACCTGCTGCCTTTCGGAGACGGGTTCGTCGCTTTCAGCAGTGCTTGAGGATCCCCTCGGCGGGCGCTTGGGCGAGGAGCTCCGAGAGGCCTTCTTTAAGTCCGGGAGGTCTTCGCGATCCTCCGTCCGCCGGCTCGTCCTCCTCGGGGTCCGCGGCCACGTTCTCATCCTCGACTCAGGCACCATCTCCACAATCTTCGTCGTTGGGGCCTTGAGTTCACTGAAGCATTCGCCAAAACTCGGGGCTTGTTTCAAGTTCTCGCCAGCGCAAAGTGCCACGCTCTTTGCAGGGCCACTTCGCCACCAGCCTTTTGAAATTCTTTAGCGGCCAAAGACATACCGTCTGCAGAAGGTATCTGGGTCGCCGTTGCTCCGCTGCCATGAAGGCGGGCAAGCAAGTCCTCGCACACGGAATGTTGGCACAAGACCCACATCTCAAAGCGCAGCCCATGTCTCTTCTGATCTCGACAGCCCGAACTTTGCAATCGGGTCTGCAAGTGAAACGTGCAATGTGCTCAAGAATGCCAACCCTCATATGAATCATGACAACGACGAGTCACATTCCTAGCTCAAGTCGTGCATACTGCGTAGCTTCCTGTACTGCTGAGGCGCTTAGCGAAACACAGAATTGAACCGGTTTGCCCAGGATAAACTAAAGGAACATGTAATCGATAGTGGAGATGTGAGTGGTCAGCTACAGTGCAGTGTAGTCTTCCAAAAGCATAGGTGATGCTGTGACTTCTCTGCGCTTCCGCTTCGCTTGTGGCTGCAAGTCTTCCTCTCTGACTCTGGGCTCGTACTGAACTTCTGAGGCCGGGACCATGGTTTTGCGGAAGTCGGCGGCTGGGACGAAGGCAGCGGTGGGAGTGTCCGTGGCCTCCGTGGCCTCCGTGGCCTCCTCCCTCATCTCAGCTTCCGAGCTCGGAGCAGAGGCTCCCTTACGGGCTCGAGCGCTGGCTTCTCGGATCCTTCCTTTCGTCTCGGCGTCGGTCGCGACCGCCTCCGTCTCTCTCTCTCTCTCTCTCGCTTTGCCTTTCTTCCTCTCTTCTCCGCCTCCGTTGGAGAGACGCCGCCGTGGCTAAGTGGCAGCTCACTCCTTCCACCCACCCAGGCAGCACGCTCGTCGGCTACAAGCGACTTCGCAACCGCTTCTTAGGCCGCAGCGGGGGCCTTGCGGGCGAAGACGCGAGCATCGCGAGGCCCTCGGCGAGGGAGGGCTCCGGCTCCGCCGTCGTTTGGGTCATGGAATCCTTCAGCTCCATCTGCGTCTGCGAAGCCTGCAAATTGTGGGATCAAAGCCACTGGGAGGCTCCACTGGAAACAGAAGCCGTGCTACGGGGCCTGCGCCTGCATCGAGACCTCGACAGGAAGTGAAGAGAGAGAGAGAAGAGAGAGAGAGAGAGAGAGAGAGAGAGAGAGACTGTAGACAGTGTAGACTCCACGTGCTTTGCCCTCCCCTGCGCAGCGGCGCCTCGACCTGGCTGGCCGTCTCTGCCGTCGCCTTCTTCCGACCAAGGACGGCCCCCTGCTGGGGGGCCTGGGCCGCCTCGCAGTGAAACGCAGCTCCGAGCGCTCCGGGCTCCGGCGGGGGCGGCTGCGCTTGGGCCTCGATGCTCTGAGCCACTCCCACGGCGCTTTGGCAAAGCGGCTCCAGCGCGGCGACGGCCACGTCGCTTTCTTCCTCCTGCGGCATGCCCGCACCGCGGAAAGCAGAGAGAACAAAAAACCCCTTCTCTCTCCGAAAAAAGGCCCCCTCTGGAATGAAGCAGAAGTGGGTCTTAGAGTCTTAGAGTGTGCTTTGCGGTCGCCGGAGAGCTAAGCAGCTAAGAGAAAAAAGCGAAGCCCTGCTCTCCTCCGCCTCCGCGTGCGTGGGGTCCTTTGGGTCGTTTGGGCCCGCTGGGTGGTCCATGCGGTCCACGCGGTGCTCTTCGTCGGAGCGGGAGCGGCGGCTGGGTCTTCGCTCCGCGGGCGCTTCCGGGGCCTCGCGCGCCGAGCGAAGTATTGCGCTTCAAACAGAGAAGGAAGAAGGGGAAGGGTCCGGGGGGGCCTCTACAAAAGTGGACTTTAAAGAGCATCACAGCGGCTTGGGACGTTTTGGCTCCGCGGCTTGAAGACGTTTTGGGGCTTCGCGCTTCGGGCTTCTCCTCTCTTTTACCGACGCGGCCTCGCTGGCCCGGCTCTCCGCCGCAGCCTCTGGCTCCGCAGGCTCCGCAGGCTCCGCGTCCTGCGTCGCCGCCCCCTGCTCCTTCAGGCCGCTACAGCCCCCGACAACTTCAGCGCCCCGACCCCAACAGTCTCACCATACGAAGAAAGCAACTCCCCCCCTATTCAGCGCCCCCCTGCTTGCCTTCTGCACAGACAGCAGCGCGCCCTGCGCGGCAGAACCAGGAGCCCAGAGAGAGTGGACCGACGATGAGGGGCTCAGCACTCCGAAGCACTTCGGTTTCCGGCGATACTCGTGCGTGAGCCTCGAAACAGAGGTTCAGTGGACTATGTTGGGTGTTCCTGGGTGCCTGCACGAATTCATCTCTGCAACATTGTCGAAAGCAACCGTGCCCAGAGGACGTACTGCTTTGATGAACCATCCAGAATGGGTATACCGAGCACCTGCTGGGAAAGAAGACGCACGGGCCCGACTGCAACCGTTGCGTGGTGAGCCCCACAGCTGTCACCTCTAAACCCGCACTTGTGCTCGTCACAACTGTTCGCAGCAGCAACGCAGTGATTATCGGCATAGGTTTCCAACGTCAACACGATAATTCTCGCTCGTATCACTGCTGCTTGCTGTACCTAGGACATTGCGGAACTGCGATGTGGAGAATGACTATCTTCATCAGTGCAAGCCTGGGGCCATGGGCCATGGGCTCGACAACTTTAACCAATGTCGCTCTTGCTACTGCTTCTGTTTCACCTTTGTTCTTGCAGTCGCGTAGTCTTGTTTGATTCCATCCTTCGTCACAATACCGGTGCAACTTCCTTACCGTCGAGTCAAGATTGCTACAGATCAGTCGGTCATACTGAAGGTTCCAACGGCATAACTCATTGAAGCTGCTCATGCTTTCGCGGCGATTCCGCTTTCTGCAAGGATCCATGAATCCGCTAGCGAGTGCTCGGTGTCGGATTCGAAAGGCCCGTGGCTCACCCCCTTCATGAAAGCTGCATCTCCGACTGCATCCGGCTACATCCCCAGTGCACACCGATCACCGGAACGAGGCTGAACAGAAACATCGACATACCCACAATAGTTGGAGAGCAACAAGGTTTCAAAAGCTCGCTGCACGATTGGCCTGACGTGATTACGATCCTGCCAGCATCGACGGATATCCATTCACCAACGCTGAAGCACTGAGCTGTTGTTCAAAAAATTGCACGATGGGAATGGAATTTTGGTGAAACACAGTGGCTTCAGCGTGTTGGAACAAAGCTAAGACAACTGATCAGTATGCTTCCGCCAAGACTGATCTATCTCTAAGCCTAACAAAGGCTTCAACACCAGAACCCACGCCTCCTGCGAATCCGTAGCTGCTTGCGCATCTGCGGATACATCCCCCTGAGAGCAGGTTCATGCCGCAGCTGGCCAGATATCCAAGACCGAACAGGCTGCAAGAGTGATGCAACTCAGCCTGCCCTGTAGTGTTGCTCACAGCAACCCCCTGACAGCAACTGACAGCAGCCAGCAAGCAGACTAGCAAGTGCCCAGCCTCTTCAGCTGGATCAGTCCTTCCTTGCTGCAAAGCCGTGGCTTCCATACGCGCCTGCGAGATTCGCAATCGCCCACAAGCAGTCACAAACCTGAGAACACGCACAAGACTTGTAGTTTTTGCAGGACTGTCTGAGTTTCGCCTCCTCTGAGTCACCACTGCCGTCAGCATCTTCTTCCTAAGACGCGTCACTGCACACGCTGACAGGGGTAATCGCGCGAGTTTGAAGCCTGTTGTTGCACGGTGTGCTGCGTATCCACAGCTGCTTGCGAATCTACGGATAGATCCGCCTGACAGCAAGTTCATGCCACAGCTGGCCAGATATCCAAGACGAAGCAGGCTGCATGAGCGATGCAATCCGGCCTGCCCTGTAGTGGCGCTTTCAGCAACGCCCTGACAACAACCGACAGCAGCCAACAAGCCTACTAGAACAAAGGACGGCGTATTACAAGTGCCAAGCCTCTTCCGCTGGATCAGCCCTTCCTTGCTGCACAGCCATGGCTTCCATATGCGCCTGCGACATTCGCAACTTCCCAGTTCGCATGCTCGGCGGAAGTCCGCGAGAGTGGGAGGAAACGGAAGGCGCACAAGCAGCACGAACGTGACAAGACATACAAAACTTGCGGGATTTTGGAGCACTGTCTGACTTTCGCCTCCTCACCACTGCCTTCAGCATCTTCTTCCTAAGATGCATCGTCGCAAGCACTGCCCACGCTGCGGCCATCGCTGCAGTGCCAAGCCTGCTTTTGCGCACTGGCTGTGGCATCGTCCTGTGAAATCGTCATCGCTTCTCAGAAGTGCAAAAACCCTCAGGCATCAACAGCTGATCAAACACCTGCTGCGGATCCACAGCAGTACCAAGTTCATGCCGCAGCTGGTATCCAAGACGAAGCAGGCTGCATGAGCGATGCAATTCGGCCTGCCCTGTAGTTGCGCTTTCAGCAACGCCCTGACAACAACTGACAGCAGCCAACAAGCAAACTAGAACGACCAAAACAAGAGTGAACTACAAGTGCCCAGCCTCTTCAGCTGGATCAGCCCTTCCTTGCTGCACAGCCATGGCTTCCATATGCGCCTGCGACATTCGCAACTTCCCAGTTCGCATGCTCGGCGGAAGTCCGCGAGAGTGAGAGGAAACGGAAGGCGCACAAGCAGCACGAACGTGACAAGACATACAAAACTTGCGGGATTTTGGAGCACTGTCTGACTTTCGCCTCCTCACCACTGCCTTCAGCATCTTCTTCCTGAGATGCATCGTCGCAAGCACTGCCCACGCTGCGGCCATCGCTGCAGTGCCAAGCCTGCTTTTGCGCACTGGCTGTGGCATCGTCCTGTGAAATCGTCATCGCTTCTCAGAAGTGCAAAAACCCTCAGGCATCAACAGCTGATCAAACACCTGCTGCGGATCCACAGCAGTTCGCGAATCTGCGGATAGATCCCCCTGAGACCAAGTTCATGCCGCAGCTGATATCCAAGACGAAGCAGGCTGCATGAGCGATGCAATTCGGCCTGCCCTGTAGTTGCGCGTTCAGCAACGCCCTGACAACAACTGACAGCAGCCAACAAGCAAACTAGAACGACCAAAACAAGAGACGGTGAACTACAAGTGCCCAGCCTCTTCAGCTGGATCAGCCCTTCCTTGCTGCACAGCCATGGCTTCCATATGCGCCTGCGACATTCGCAACTTCCCAGTTCGCATGCTCGGCGGAAGTCCGCGAGAGTGAGAGGAAACGGAAGGCGCACAAGCAGCACGAACGTGACAAGACATACAAAACTTGCGGGATTTTGGAGCACTGTCTGACTTTCGCCTCCTCACCACTGCCTTCAGCATCTTCTTCCTAAGATGCAGCGTCGCAAGCACTGCCCACGCTGCGGCCATCGCTGCAGTGCCAAGCCTGCTTTTGCGCACTGGCTGTGGCATCGTCCTGTGAAATCGTCATCGCTTCTCAGAAGTGCAAAAACCCTCAGGCATCAACAGCTGATCAAACACCTGCTGCGGATCCACAGCAGTTCGCGAATCTGCGGATAGATCCCCCTGAGACCAAGTTCATGCCGCAGCTGATATCCAAGACGAAGCAGGCTGCATGAGCGATGTAATTCGGCCTGCCCTGTAGTTGCGCTTTCAGCAGCGCCCTGACAACAACTGACAGCAGCCAACAAGCAAACTAGAACGACCAAAACAAGAGTGAAGTGACAAGACATACAAAACTTGCGGGATTTTGGAGCACTGTCTGACTTTCGCCTCCTCACCACTGCCTTCAGCATCTTCTTCCTAAGATGCAGCGTCGCAAGCACTGCCCACGCTGCGGCCATCGCTGCAGTGCCAAGCCTGCTTTTGCGCACTGGCTGTGGCATCGTCCTGTGAAATCGTCATCGCTTCTCAGAAGTGCAAAAACCCTCAGGCATCAACAGCTGATCAAACACCTGCTGCGGATCCACAGCAGTTCGCGAATCTGCGGATAGATCCCCCTGAGACCAAGTTCATGCCGCAGCTGACATCCAAGACGAAGCAGGCTGCATGAGCGATGCAATTCGGCCTGCCCTGTAGTTGCGCTTTCAGCAACGCCCTGACAACAACTGACAGCAGCCAACAAGCAAACTAGAACGACCAAAACAAGAGACGGCGAACTACAAGTGCCCAGCCTCTTCAGCTGGATCAGCCCTTCCTTGCTGCACAGCCATGGCTTCCATATGCACCTGCGACATTTGTTAGGGTGCAGTCAGATGTCAACATGGGATTCAGAAAATCCCGGAGAGTGGGAGGCAAGACTTGCGGGATTTTGGAGCACTGTTTTTCGCCTCCTCACCACTGCCTTCAGCATCTTCTTCCTAAGATGCATCGCTGCAAGCACTGCGCACAGTACGGCCATCGCTCAAGTGCGAAGCCTGCTGTTGCGCAGTGGATGTGGCGTCGTCCTGTGTCATCGTCATCGCTTCCCGGCAACACAAACTCTAACAAAAGATCACATGCCTGCTGCGGATCCACAACTGCTTGCGCTTCTGCTGGCAGAGGATGTGCCTGAATTGTGTGATTTCATGGTGTCATGATTTGGTCTTGATGCAGCGCCTGTGTGCGGAGAGGAAGCGAAGCTCCACAGCTGGGGCAGACCTGGCACGGTCAGCGCAGCACCCTCGAAGCGAAACTTCTGCCTGTGGCCGTCGCTTTGATCTCGGACACGGAAGGCACGGAAAGCACAGGCGCCGGCACGGGCGGCCTTCTCGCACAAGGAAGGCTGCATAAGTCAATGACACCAGACAGCCACATTCAAGTAAGCGCCTCTGTTCTTGCCCTTCTTCTTGCCCGGCAGCTCTGAGCAGCACACCTACGATGTGGCCCAGAAACAAAGCAGCTAAGCCGCTAAGCAGTTAGGCTTTCCATCTCGAATCAGTCAGGGCACCGCAGTTGACATCCTCTGTTTCCGGATCCGGTGCTTCCGGCGCTTCGGGATTCCAAAGATCCTGAAAGATACGCGTCTCCGTCTCGCGGTCGGTCTGCACTCCTGCGCAAGACAGGACAACAGGACAGGATTCATGCCTTTCGGGCCTTTTCGATCTCATCTCCTGCTGACACCGCTCGGCGAGGGCTCTTGGAAGCCTCTGGGAAAGAGCCGAAGCATCGCAAAGAGCGAGTGACTGTGACAGCGCGCACCTGCGGGCTGGTCCCTGTCGCCGCGAGAGCCTCTGGGCGTGGTTCCTGAGCCTCCGCCTCCATCGGCTCTGCCGAAGGCTGTGCCGCCGAGACATCATCCGCGGCTTGACTTTCTTCCGAGCACGGGCCCACATCAAAGAAAGGGTCGCTTCCTTCGAGCTTCGGAAGGACTTCCGTTGGCTTCGGAAACGTTTCGCTCGCCTCGCTCGCAGCCTCGCTCGTCGCCACCGCAACGTCGGCTTCCGAAGCCAAGCCTCGCTCTACCCGCAGCGCCTCCGCCTCCGCCGCTGCCAGCGCCTCCGCTCCCGGCGGCGTCGTGGCCGAAGCGCCGCTCTCAACCGCAGCTGACTGCGAGTCGGAGCCCGAAACAGGGCTCGGCGCGCCGCTTTCCGCCGAGCCGGAAACGGACGCTTCAGCCTCCTCCCGGTCTTCCCGATCCTCTCGGGCCTCCTCCGGCTCCGTCAGCTCCTCCCCGTCGGAAGCTTCCCCTTCGTTGTCGGGAGAGCCCGAGCCCGCCGGGCCCGAACCCGAGACGCCTGTGACGCCCTCCTTCTTTGGCTTCAGAGCCTCAACAAAGCGCGGACAAAGTGCAACCCATCAGCACAACACACGGCCGAGTGGGGGGTGGGAGCGCCTGCAGGCGCTCGACTTTCTTGGCCATCCTTCGCAAACTTTGGCTCTTCTCCTGCAAGCTGCGGCTCTTCTGCCTCGGCCGGTTTTTTGGGTCCCGTTCCGCGACGCTTTTGGCTGGGCCGGGGCCCCGAACTGCAGCAGCTCCTTCGTCCGACTCAGCTCCCGGGTCAGCCTGCAACACGCACGCGCACACACACACACAGGCACTCCTGTCATTTGTGACTCCCTATTTCTGTCATTTGTGACTCCCTAGGTTCCTGGGTCTGGCCTAGGCAAATCCCCGTCATTTGTGACTCCCTCCGCCTGCCATCACCACACATCACCTCACCCGAAAGTGCTCATATTCATTGGCAGGCCTGTGATTTCCTCTCAAACAAGCACCTGTCATCTGTGACTCCCGACCCTTTTGCCTTGCTTGTCAATGTGGTTTTCACACAGCAACACCGGTCATCTGTGACTCCCTTACTTTTCCTTCTTCTGGTCATCTGTGAGCACTCCTTAAGGTCTTCGTCTTGGGTGAAAGGTTCTTCTTGGATTCAACCCTTAGGATTCCCTCTTCGGCAAAAGGTTCATGCTGGATTCAGTCCTAAGGGTCTTCGTCTTCGGTAATAGGTTCCTGCTGGGTTCACTCCTTAGGGCCTGGGTCCTCCTCAGGGCCTGGGTCCTGCTGGGTTCACTCCTTAGGGTCTTCGTCTTGGGTGAAAAGTTCTTCTTGGATTCACCCCTTAGGGTTTCATCTTCGGCTAAAGGTTCCTGCTGGGTTCACTCCTTAGGGTCTTCGTCTTGGGTGAAAGGTTCTTGTTGGATTCAACCCTTAGGGTGTTTGTCTTCGGCACTGGGTCCTGCTGGGTTCACTCCTTTTTGTCTTCGTCTTGGGTGAAAGGTTCTTCTCAGATTCACCCCTGCTGGTTTCATCTTCGGCTAAAGGTTCATGCTGGATTCACTCCTTAGGGTTTTTTCGTTTTCGGTAAAAGAATGTTGCTGGGTACACTCCTTAGGGTCTTCGTCTTGGGTGAAAGGTTTTCTTGGATTCACCCCAGAGTTTTTCGGGTCAAAGGTTCTTCTTGGATTCACCCCTTTGAGCGTCATCTTCCGCAAAAGGTTCATGCTGGATTCACTCCTTAGGGTTTTTGTCTTCGGTAATAGGTTCCCGTTGGGTTCACTCCTTAGGGTCTTCGTCTTGGGTGAAATGTTTTCTTGGATTCGCCCAACAGGGTTTCATCTTCGGCGAAAGGTTCCTGCTGGCTTCACTCTTTTGGGTTTTTGTCTTCGCTAATAGGCTCCTGCTGGATTCACTCCTCAAATTCTGCGCTGAAAGGCCGAAAGGCCCATCTTCGGCACACGATTCCTGCTGGATTCGCTCCTTAGGGTTTTTGTCTTCGGTAGTAAGTTCCTGCTGGATTCACTCCTTGTTGCGGGTTTGTTAAGCAGTACTAGAGGCGTATTATATGTGTATATATATATATATATATATATATGCGCCTATATATATATATATATATATATCATAAATAATATTATATAGTATATATTTTAAATTTTAAATTGATTATGTATATATATATATATATGTATACATATATAATATATATATATATATATATGTATATGTATATGTATTATATATGTATATATATATATGTATATGTATATATATATATATATATATATATATATATATATATATACACACACACACATATATATATATATATATGAATTGGAAGCAGGCATATGGTTGTGCGTTGTGCGAAAAATACACCTCTCCTAAGGAAAAAAACTACTTTCGTGCGAAAGTGCACGAAGCCTAGGAAAAACTGCATTTTCAGCGAGAAAATGCACCAAACCCAGGGAAAACCAAGATTTCTTAAAAATGAGCACCGCGCCTAGGAAATATTGCAGATTTGGGCAAACTGACTACAGTCATTTGTGACTCCCAGTTTTCCGTTTCAAACATGAAAGCAATCGGTGCATGTGCTGGCATGTACCAAAACCCTGGAAGGGTCTCCATTTTCAGCCGTTGAACCACCTCTCATTTGTGACTCCCTGGTCGGCTGTTGGACAACAAGGTTCCTGAAGACAAACGTTCAAAAATATCCCAAAACCCTAGGGAGTCACAAATGACAGGAGTGCCCACACACACACACACACACCCACACCCACCCACCCACACCCACCCACCCACACCCACCCACCCACACCCGACACCCACCCACCCCACCCACACCCACACCCACACCCACACCCACACACCCACCCACCCACCCACCCCCCACCCACCCACCACCCACACCCCCCCCCCCTGAGATGTAACCTGGACGTGTATCCCCTCGCTAGGCGTACAGGAACACAGGCACTCAGGTGTCTCTTTTGCTACAGGCGCACAGCTGTAGTCCACTGCACTAGAACCTTGAGCAACAGGCATGGATACATGCAAGTGATACGTGAAACAGACAGGCAGTCGGCATTCAACTAGCCTGTTATTGCTCTCGGTCGAATTAGCGGAGTATTGAGCTACATCTGCGACTTGAAGAGAATCTATACATCTCTCACCTGAAGACAGCTTCAATGAAAAGAGCAGAACACGCACGAAAACGCAAACGGATCTTCAACTGAAAACTTTTGCTTGAAAGTTGCCCACTTGTGTTCAGTTTCCTCTCCAGGCGGAAAGCTTACTGTCACATAAAGGATTGTAGAGCTTAGCTCCACTTGATGCCAGCATGACATCTTGCGACACGGCAAATATATAAGGGCATGAGAAGTATCTTATCTTGAGATAAGTATCTTTCTTTGAGAAAGAGTTCTTTAGGAAGTACCTTTTCCTGAGAAAAGCATCTCCCTATGAAATGACGAATGCTCAAGTGGATACCTTCTTCTGAAAGAAGCATTCCGTGAAACACTCTGCCAGTTCAGTCGATGAACTCTATGTCGCGATGCCAGGTTCTATCACGCCAATGTTCAGTACCATGCCAGCGGTAAATGTCAACCGTGTGGATCGGCATCACCGGAGCATGGCGAACAGGGTCGTAACCGCGGGGATCAGCAGGGGATCTAGGTAACGAGATCTGTGGATCAGGAGCAACGGCATCATCTTGTTCCAAAAGAACCTCGTCGAGTCCATTGTCCATTTCCACATCCGAAGAATCGGAACCTAGTCAGTGTTTCCCCTTGCTCTTGCCCTTGGACTTGTCCTTGGACTTGCCTTTGGACTTGCCCTTGTCGGCGTCCTTGCCTTTTCCTTTGGAGGACTTGCCTCCTTTGCCGCCTTCTTTGCCACCAGGAGGTTGTGCGGGTTCTTGAGGACGTTGAGAACCAGAAGCTTTAGCACCAGAAGCTGCCTCTTCCTGAGAAGAGCTTGCTCCCTGTGGTGCGGCTGCAGGACCAGTAGAACCAGAACCACGCGCCTTGTTCAGCTTCTGTCTCTCTTTTCTTCTGTCCGCGGCTTCCTTCATGGTGTCGGGATTGCGGTTGAGCGCTCTCATCCTGCCTCCAGAGTACTGGTTCGCGTGAACCTCGATGAGGAGCGGAGTGTGAGCGTCATAGTCCCGATCGTTGAGAAGGTACGCGGCGCTGGTGGAGTTTAACAGCCACTCAGAGACATGGATGTCGAACTCAGTCTTTGAAGACGGAAACTCCGCCCATTGATCGTCCGACATGCTGTGTCCCCATTCCATGACTGTAGCCATAACAGGATCCAAACCAGGAAAAGTATTCCAGTCTGGTTGCTTAGCTTCCTTGTATGGCATTCCCAGCGTGTCCTCATACTGTTTCAGAAGCCACATGGCGTTTGCTGACACATGTCTCGCACGAGGCGAACAGAAGTGTGGGCACTTTGGGCTTTCTGACCATGCCTCCAAGAAGTAGTCGAGAAGGCTTTGGTACATTCCGCCACGAATATCCATCGACTCCTGCTTTCGGCCGGTGGCCCGGTAGAGGGCCACGTTGGCGTCGCCACCGATGAGGTCGACTTGGTAGTGCAAGCAGTCGATGAACATGTTGCCCAACACTTCATGAGCCAACGCCACTTTGTCTGCCGCCGCGTCGTTGTGGAGGTGGAAGACACAAACTCTTAGCCGGTCGGATCCAGCTCGCTCCAAGACCTTGGTCAGTGACTCATCTGGAACATCACCACGACTGCCCTGGAGACCAGTCGGTAACGTCATGCCATACACGATTTCCGCGACCATATAGGTTATTGGAGGGACTCGTGGGCATATCCACTGAGAGTGGAGCCGGCAAGACGGGTGATCGAAGATCCGACACCATTTGTACGACTTCCCACCATCAGGTCCTTGGACTCGTTACGAAGGAATTGCCAACCGCGTGACTTGAGGAAGGCCTCTTCGGAGTCATCGATCTTAGCCGCTTCGCAGAGCATGAACAAATGCGTCTTCGACTGTGCAATCGATTTTATCAAGGCTCCTTTAGATGGTGTAGCATCGTCCCAGTCAATGTGATTAGCAACGGAGCTAGGAGCGGAACGCTTTCTTCCCCTGCTCATGTTGCCGAGATTGAGGATGAGCGCGGCATACTTGGTCTTGCTGGTGAAGATAGGGACATTGGAGTCCTCTGCCAGACCAAAACGATGAATATAAGGATTCGGCGTCTTCTCAAGAGAGAGGTCCCCGATCTCCTCTTCATCGACTCCGGTGCTCAAGAAGTAGTGAAGCATAGCATTCAAAAGTTCTTCTCGAGTTGCCGGATTGCCGCTTGCATCCAGGGACTTCAGCTTATCAAGAAGTGCTTCCATAACATCCAGTGCTGATTCTCGGATGTCAGAGGCCTTGCCCATGAGCTTGTCGTCCAAGGTGCTACGAACGTCCCCAGAACGAAAAACAACGTCCTTTTTGTCGGGACGACGCTCGTAGATGGGATCCATCTTGTTGAGTTGGTCGAATAGATCCACCATAGAGAGAGAGTATTTCTGTCCCTTGTGGTTCGGAACATTTACCCTCCAACTCATATGCTGCACCTTGTAGGCGAGAACGGGCTCGTAATCAGGATCACGAAGTCCTGTATGATACAAGCCTGAATAGCCATATCCATGCAGCTGCTTGCAGAGCATCCGCATAGG